GTTACAGAAGATATAAGAGTTTCTTAGTGAATAGAAAAGTTTTGAGAATGGCATCCTCATGAAAATTACAGAGACATCTCCCACTAGCATGCAAAAGTGAAGTGCTCCTATGACAAATTCTTCAGCAAATGGGGGAACTCATCATCAGTCTCTTGCCTATTCCTATTAAGAGCAGTAGTTCAGTAGATGCTGAGAGCCATACCATTCCCCTCCTACCTATCTATAAGGGGAAAGACCAAGAATATTTTAAAAAATTTCTTCTGCCTAGAACAAAGTATTCTGCTCTTCTGAAAGCAAAGCAAACATGTACCTAAAACAATCAGGACAGAAGGGGCTGAGCATATTTTCCAAAGCCTTTTATGTATCATCCACCATGGGAAAAGCTCTGTCGCTACTCAAACTGGCAAAACTTTGAGGAGTCAGCTTCACTAAATTATAAGGCAGAGTATATGTCTGCTTTGAATGTGCATGATTATGTTCCACTGATTCTGAGCGAGAAGCTCTCACTGCTATTGACAGCTATGACTCACTGGCAGAGGTGGAGAAGGCAGGGGAAGCAGTGCAATTATGACTGTCGCTTAGAAAAGCTTTCTCTATCACAACAGTCCTAGTGACTCAATAGGTTACACTACACCTTCTCCCTTAATTATATTTGGGAGAAAGTGTAGTGTAGGTCTGGCAAAGTTTTTCTATGATGTTTCCCTGTTAGCAAGTGGGAAAGGGGTAAATAGGCTCTGCTGATTCACAGAGGTGTGTGGATCTCAGCATTACAAGACAGAGATCTTTGCGGGAAACAGGATGTGGGATATGAGTAATTCAGGAGGAAGCCCAGAAAGCACTTGAGGATAAAGTTGGACCAGATGCTTGTAACTTATTAATTTGTTAAAGCCCAATCTCAAGGATGGGCAATTATCTGACTAGAGGTGGGGTGCAGATTTTATTTTAGAATAGATTGAGGAAGGCATGTGTCCCACAGGGACCACCTGGTGTTTCATACTACTGAGGAATCAAATGATAGTAGCAGAAATGTTCCAGAGACTGGAAAGCCCGCAAGCAAAACACAAGCTGATTCTGCATGTAAACTCACACTTGGGGAGAATGATTATGATGGTCTCCTTCTGTTTTTATTATATGCTGTAATAGAGAAGACCATATTTTTTTCTGAGTTGTGTGCTAATGGTTACTTTCTCTCTGAAACAGTTGGATGGGGCTCTTGCTCCTTTGTCAATTTTGAAAACTGTTAGATGAGCTACTATTGTCTCCTGAATGGAGAGAGAAATGGAGGCTCTTCATGAAATTTTCCAAACCCATGGAAGTTAATGGGGGGTCTTTAGGATATATAACGTGGATGAACTTATCAGAGTTCCTGGCTTCTTTTCCAGTTCTAGGACCAACAATCAACATAGCTTCTCTTCTCTTTATAGCTCAGCCACTGAAGCAAACAATTCATTACTGTTCTTTTCATACTTACTAGAGTGTCTCAACCTCCTTCCCTTTAGACAGCATCTTACCTTTATCAGGGCTGTTTCTTTCATTTCCATGTGCCACAAGTAATTGCTTCACCTCATAGGAGAAGTCCAGGAATGGAATCACATTTGGTGCATGTTGGGCATTTTTGGAGTAATTGCATATGCAAAATAGCTTATTTAGAATCTGTACTAAAATAAGTAAGCAAGAAGATTGGTATAACTTCAAAGCAGATCCTAAGAGAAGCTCATGAAACAGAAATTCCTCTTTGGCAGACAAAGGCATCTCAATACCTCGGCAAGATGCACTGTGCTATGACCCTTCACATAAACATTGGCCAGGAGATTAAGACTTGACTAGTGATTTTGGGTGCCCAAGTTGAGATTTTCAAAGAGTCCCCGTTTTCAGAAAGTGTTGAAAACCTTGAAAATCTGCATATCACAGCTCTTCAAGGTGCTTTACAGCAATCACTCAAAATCACAGGGCAGTGTTGAGAGCTTTGCCCTTGCCCACACTGTGAAGATCAAGAAATGAACTTCATCGAGAGCAAAAATGACAGACATAATAGCATAGGTAGCAGAGTGGCATTTTAACCATGGCTCAGTGTTGGAATAAATGCAGAAACAACATGAACACTGATCCCCTTTCAAGTCTACAGCTTACACTGTTGCTGTGCCCAGTGGGGCTGCATTTGTGGGCAGGACGACGAGGGGCATATTCTGTTTTGGCTTGTGCTTAATGCTCAACAGTTAGGCTGATGTGAACGAGCCAGAAGGAAGAGCAGATTTCTATCTTACACACTATGTTAATCGGAGATGCTTCTGAGGGAGTTCATAAACTGGGATTGCTTAATTTAAGTTCTTAAGGTGAATTAAGAACTTAGAAGTATTATATGAAACATAGAGATTTCAGTTGTTCAGGTATGAAACAACTGAACTAAAAACAAACATCAAGAAGCTCACAAGTTTACTGAGCATTTTATTTTTATTGGGACCATTTATTTTTAGACAAGGAACACCTGAACTTCAACAGATTATACAAAAGCATCACAAAGTAACCCTAAATCCACATTTTTCTGTGATTAAAATGAAACACTGCTAGATATATATCTATATATTAGTGGCGTTTCATTCTAATCACAGAAAAATGTGGATTCGGGGTTACTTTTTTTAAACTGAAAATTGGGAATTTTTTTAAATTAGAAAAAAACCAGGATGCCTGATGAGCAGTACCACCCCCCCACCCCCTCAGAAGTTACCCATGTATGACAGCAGAAGGAGGTAAGACCTGTTTGTAATGAGGTCCCAGGCATCCAAACCTTTCATGACTTGCTTATCACATGGTCAACAGCTTGGGGATGCAATTTGAAGAGAGAACAAGACATTGTGTCCAAAGTCCCGGAGAAAAACCTGCAAGGACCTGAATGCCAGCTGACAGGTGCCTCAGGCAGTCACGATCAGGGGTCAAAGCTGCCCTGTGTCTGGAGGACAAAAGGGCTGCAAATTCAGCCTCCTGTCATGGAGCCAACAGAGCTCAAAAGGCTAAACGAGGCTTCATCTCCCAAGGCCACGGTGGGGCACAGCCCTGTATACAGGCTGCAGAGGGAGGCCTTCTCAATAGTGCCAAGGGCAGCAGAACAGAGGAGCAGAGACCTGGACCCCAGTTACAGAAAGTCACTAAGCCCAGGGTTTCCATCGTGCTCGGTATCCTCCAGAAGCCTGCAACCTTCCCTATTATCATCTCTGGCCAACCTCACCACGTGGAAAAACATCCAGACATTCAAGGGGACCAGGACCCCACTTACGGGCTGCAGGCCGCAGGGTGGGGTGGATGCAGAAGAACAGCTGGCCAAGTGTCACATCACTCGCTTCCAGGGACTCGGGTATGGAATAGATAATATAGTCTTCCCACAAGAGGGATGGTAGTAGCACATCATGTGAGCTAACAAGTAGCCAAAATAACATGCTAGCCACCCAAAAAGAGGAGGCCTATGACCTGTACCCTCAGATACAGGGAGGTTGCATGCCCTAAAATATTAGTGGGAGGACGAGGGGGTCCTAATGCTCCTCTAGACCAGCAGGCACGGAAATTTATACTAGTGCTTAACCCCCTAGGTGAGGAGGTGGGAGGATAAAGCTACAAGGGCACAGCAAGCCCCTTTTTTGGCACTGGGAAGACAAAGTATGCTGTAGTGATTTATAGTTTCATAGTTTTATTTTAAGAACAAAAAAGAAAATAACAAATGCTTTCATTCCCAGGCATTCCTCTCTCTCACTATACTCATGCTGACAAGAGAAAAAGAGTGTTCCCAGGTCAGAAAAGAGCTCAGTGCAGCAAACTGCTTGACCTCCAGCCTCACACTGGAAAATCCTCCTCCACTTCCAGAGGGCAAGAAGGTGGAGACCGGCACCCTCCTTACAGCGTATGGTCCAACCGACTAGCCTCCTCCTGAGGTTCTGGTTGAATTTCTCCCCCCACCTTTTTGTTTTTTGGTCACTCCATCCACGGCCCCACCAAGTCCTGGGACCTCCTGGTCAACCTCCTCCTGGCCCTGGCCAACTGGACCCTGTACTCGACCAGGAAGGTGCCCAGAGACTATGGTGCAGCTTTCCTCTCATTTGTCTGTGCACATTTCTGGGCAGAGCACCAGTGGGCAGCATCCATTGGCTCCTTGGATGCTTTTGAGGACCGGTGGGAGCGGCCCAGGAGGCTTTGCTTGGTGTCCCCCTCCGGAGCACTTACTTTCACTTTTTGACACTTTGACCTCCATGTCACTCCTATCCTGTTTTTTTTCTTAGTTGTCCCACAAAATAAGTTGATCCATTCATCCATTAGCTCCCACATAGTGGGGGCTATTAGTTTACCGGGTGGGCCTTAGAGCATGCAGCAATTTAGGGCTCTAAGTAATGGAGAAACAGACAGGCCAGCCAAAGGAAAGAGCTGTCACCAAAGGCACATTGGGACCTGGACCAATGTACAGGGTGGTCCATTCCTCTGCAGAATCTAACCTTGACCAAGAAGAGGCACAGGACTCACACCCTCATTACAGGGTGGCCAAGAGGTCCAGACGTGCTGTGCCAGGCATAAATGCAGGAAGGACAGGTGCTGGGATGCAGGGAATGGAGAGGAGGCCAGAGGCTGTAACCCACGTTACAGGAAAGTCACAAAGCTCTGGATTCTGAAGAGTTTGCTGTCACCCCACAAGACTCGGCTGCTGTCTGCAAGGCCGCCCTGGTGCACAATGCTGCAGACTGCTCAGTCCCTCTCAGACCAGCAGAAGAAGGCTACACCCATCCCACAAACAGGCTCCTCTCTGACTGGCTGGCTTGGCAGTGGACTTGGCCTCCTGATTATGGGACATCCAGTGCTACTCACATTCAACTCACCTGTTGTTCTCACGTGGCTGGAGGTAGCATGCACCCCGCTTCCAGGAGGCTGCGCTGTCAGCACCCACTTCTGGCAGCTGGCTTGGACCCCAATTACAGGGCGGCTGTTGAAGACCACCAATCAGATGGATGGCCGTTAGATACAAGGTGGCGCTGACACACACCTTGCTTACAGGGTTGTCTAGCTTCTACCCAACTGCAGCAGAAGCACAACAGCATCAAGGGCAGAGACCTGTGTCTGGGTTACAGGGAGCTCGCCAAAGGCTCACACAGCCAAAATCTGGCTAAGACATGATAGAGACCTAAAGGGAGGGAGGTTGCTCTGTCCAGAGTCCCTTGCCTTCACATAGTTTCTCTGGCTGGCTTTCCTCCTGCCTCGCCCCTTCTCCGCTGCTTCTCCGGGGCTTCTCCAGGGTCTTCCTCTGCCAGGCATTGAAGTTCAGGGTCATCATGTTGTACTTGCTGGAACTGGGTGGGACAGGTCACCCAATTCAGACATAGACCTAGAACGGTCTCAGTTGGGGCTATGGGCAGCATCTCTCCGACACATCCTTCACCACTACGTACTTTCTTCTGCTCCTCTTCAGTGGTTCTCACCCTCTACAGGACTCTATATATTGGCTCCCATTCCCTTCTGATAATCATTTTGCAGGAGAGTGTTGGGGCTAACCCCACCTTAAGCTCCTCCTGGTATTCCATTACCCGGAGGGGCACATAGCAGCCTTCAAAATGCATTTCCCCTCCCAGGATACATGTCATCGTGATTGGCTCAGCCCGACGGATCCCTCATGTTGGAGCCAAGTCAGCTGTTAGGAGCAACTGTGAACACCCTGCGTCTAGAGAGGCTCTTACTGACCGCTCTCCAATCCAGGCCACGACAACCAGTGCTCCCAACCCTTGACCTGAACCCTGTCTGTGAAGCTGCAGCCCGCGGGTTTGCCACGCTCCTCTTCCTGATGCCTTTCCCTAAATGAAGGAACGGGGTTGATGGGCTTATTTAAGGTACCGAAGCCTTGAGGACATTCTTTAGCCATATGTCCTGTCTTCCCACAGTGGTAACATACACCACCTCGTAGTATGACCTTTGGTGGGCCCGGTTTCCATTCTTCTTCACGTGGGGTATTCATAGTAGGAGGCCTAAGACCTCGGCTGTGGCCCCCATCACCTTCAGATACTGTATGGGTCTCCGCAATTCTGAGGGTTTCCTCACAGCCACGAGGCTGGTGTCGGTGTACCCACCTCTGTGTATCCTCCTCTAGATCCCACATGAATTGCTCTAACACTTTTTGATCCAAGACCCCATCTCTATCATGATGGTTAAGAGGGAGCCACTTCTTTAACCTATCTCTGAGTACTTGCATAAGGATACGGGGCTGCCTCTCTTCACACGTTTCCCGGGCCTGGAATACTAACCTATGATTTTTCTGGTGTTATCTTGAGACGGTACAAGACCTTGACAGTCTTGTAGTTGCATGTGTCTTCTCTAGGCAATGACTGGTATGTTGCCTGAGCCTTATCAACTACTAATGCTCCCAATTGATGAGCCCACTGGGAGCGATCCAAGCCCACCTGTATGGCTGTTCGCTTAAATGATTCTATGCAGGCTTCTGCATCATCTTCCTTAGTCATCCGTGGCATTTTGAATAAGGAAGAATTTCTCTGCAGCCATTCCTGCTGCAAGGCACCTTGCCGTTGCTGCAGGTCTTGAACCTGACCAATGGCTTGCAAGGCCTGCCCCAACATTTGTGTGTGTGAGATCCCTGTAGGATCCATGCTGATCTATCCTAGGTTGGATCGCTGATCCTCCCATTCCCAGCCAATGCACCACTGTAACGCTCCCGATTATCTGAGGGCAAGTTCTTCTTGAGTCCCCACCAAGTTAGGCCTTCTCTCAACTCACCTGCCATGACTTTGATGATACACAATTTGATAGGAGGGGTTCAGTATTGTTCAATACAGGGGCCCCACTTGGGGTTACTCATGGATCCGAGAGTGTCTGATGAAGGGGGCTCCACCTCCCCCACATCCCCAGCCACACACCAGCTGTTGGTGTCAAGACAATGGACTGATATGGGATCCTGGCTTGATCCATGTTTTGAGCTAAGAGGCAATTCCAAAGGCACTTCCTAGCTTTGTCCGGATTGCTCTGTGGCTCCCTTGCTGACAAGGGGTTAACTCTGAGCTTAAGCCCAGACCTTAGAGCTCTGCTGGTCCCAGGCAGCCTTCTCTCAAAAAAGGAAAAAAAAAAAAGCTGAAAAAGAAAGAAACAAAGAGGAACCTAATTCCTATGTTCGTTGTCTCTATTCTGGCTGATGACCATCTCAGCCTGCCAGCAACACTGCCAGCTCACTCAAGCTGCTGGGTTTCGTTTAGTAAATGAGGCTTCACTCCCTAGCCTTGGGAACACAAAGCCTATACTGCTCAGTATATATTGAGCCCTCAGGCTCCACTCTGCCTTGGTGTCCCATGTCTGCCACAGCCTCTGCCATAACTGGCGCAGAGGCAGGCTCTCCACCCTCCTCCCTGGCACTCTGGGTGTCTTTTCAATCTCTCGTGGTGGCACCAGGGGCTGATGTCATCAGCCCAGTGCTGCCCAGCTTGATTGACAGGTGGCTTTTAAACTTCAGCGGTGGTGCCACGTGTCATCACTGCCCTGCCACCTCCTAGGCAAAAGATCCCTAGTACCAAGGAGGTAGCTGGCCCAGTGTGAGTGTTATGTTTTATTGGGAGCTTGTTCAGCCCATGCAGGGTTTTGGGTCTTGCTCATGGGGTCTTTCAGACCCCTTTCGTTACAGCGGGATTTGCGGCTGAAGCCTCAGGTGGCCAGTCCAACCGCACAGCAAAGTCGAGCGACATCTGCCATTAATCAGCAGGGATTCAGCATCTTGGGTGATCAGCCATTAGGCATTCAGCATGCAGTGATTCCAAGAGAGCCACTGCAGAAATGAAAGAGGGCAGCAGGTGGGGGCAACTTGGATGTGAAATGACAGGAGAGAGGAAAAACTGTGCAGTGAGGAAGGATGAGCTTGGAGGTGAAAGATATCAGGCACCAAGGAGGTGGCTGGCTCATCAAATTTATTTGTCTCTTAAATAGCAGGTCAGCTCACACCTGCTTTTCTGTCATCTTCTCTGCTTCTCCCTCCGGCGGCCACGTAGCTTGACCCCCGAAGGGGACTCGTTTTGTGGGATTTGCAGCTGAAACCTCAGCTCTAACTGGGAGGCAAAAGATCCCTAATACCAAGGAGGTAGCTGGCCTGTCAATTCCATTAGGCTTGTGCTTCCCAGTGGCCTTGAGAGGACGCAGGGCCCTTGAAATGGCTATCAGTGCTTGACCTCCCATAGAGCTAGGCAGCACCACTCCACAGCTCGGGCTTCTGTGTGTGAAAGACTGTCAGTGCTTGATATCTTCACAAGCAGGGCAGCACTATACGGCAGCTTGGCAAGATAATCCTGAGAGCAGACAGCGGAGGCCTTAATGTACTTCACCTGCTGCAGGCCCAAATGGGGCCTTAAGGGAGGACTGCAGATGGAGGCTCATGGGCCTTGCCCGCTGCCGACCCAAGGGAATGGAGCAGACTTCCAGCCCCGACTGCTGATCACCGGTGCTTGACAGACTACGAACCAAGCGGCACCTACCATGGTTCAGGATGTCACTCGCTTCAGCCTAACTCAGTAATTGGCCAGAAGAGGGGCTGCAGAGACTGAGGAGGCTCCACGGCTCAACCTCACCTTGTCCGCACGAGCCGGCTGGGGCTTGATGGTCACTCTCTGCCGGGCAGCCCCAAACCTGCTAGGGTTTGCTACAGATTGCACCCACGGTAGTTACTCCTAGTGACTCCCACCAACAAAAAGCAGGTAGTGGGAGCCCAGGCCCGCGGTGAGCACAGCTTACTTTGCCTTTCCTGCGCCTCCTCATGAGGGCAGCTGCTCTTCCGTGCAGCAGCCCTACCGTGGGCACAAATAGGCTTCTGTCCTCCGCCTTCCCCGGGACACCTGAAAAAGAAGTAAAAATCCCGTGGGCGAACAGAAAAAAGCCTGCGCTCAGCACTGCGCAGCCTGAGCTTTGGCTGTTTGGTGGGGAAAGCCGAGCGGTTTTGCTGGGGGCCTTCCTGCTGAAGCCCACATTGATGAGCTCATCACAGCACCGACTGTCCGCCCTCACCTGCCCCGGCTCCGTCCCGCCTCAGGCGACGCTCCTGCTCCCGCCTCCAAGCAACTCGGGGCGGCCAGCCCGGCCCGGCCCGGCCCAGTCCCCTCCGCGCGGGGCCCTCGCAGCGCCGCTGCCGCGGTTGAGGCTGGGGCGGTTTGGCGGACATGAGCTCGAGGCCGGGCCTGGCGGG